GGGGTTGGGTTTAGGACCAAGGTATGAATTGAATTTAGGTTAGTTTTAGTGTCAGTTTGGTACCTGTGAGGTTAGCTTTAGGGTAAATGGTCAGGGTTAGGATATAAAATTGAAGAAAAAAAATGAATGGAAGTCAATGGAAAGTCCCCACAAGGATAGAGAGACATAGTGTGTGTGTGCGTGCGTGCGTGCGTGTGCACATGTGCACAATGACATATAAGTGCACGTGCGTGCATGCGTGCGTGCGTGTGCGCATGTGCACAATGACTATAAGTGTGGATGGATTGTCACCGTAAACAATTTATCAGGGCTAGATTTCTGTGTAGAGTTGCATATAAATACAATATTAGTTTTTCATTGGCTAGCTTCTGGCTATTACAAACATATTTGAAGTCGTCATTGCAGACGTGTGTACCTTGACATGCTGATAAAATAAAATGAACTGCCAAGAATTTTCTACCAAATCAAAATAATGGTTGTCAACAGCACACTGAGTTTCACTGAAGAGCTATTGCTACAACATTCAGCTTTACATCTCTCTGATCAAGAAAAGTCATGTGATAGCTCTTCTTGTATACTACATTGACATACAGACACTCAGAAACTTCTACAACATCTATTGTTTCACTTTCATTGCTGAGTTTGTAGAAAACTTCCAACACACACCGCTTCACATCTGAACATGGATGTGTGACAAAGAGCTAAGCTCACAATAAACACACATAGGAAGCAAAACATGTCAGACTGACTCAGTTACATTTTACACAGTTACAACATTTAGACATAGCTCACCTCTTTGCTGCTGCAGTTTGGGATGTTTTAAAGTCAGTTAATTGATCCATTGACCGGTTGCTTCTTATGGACACACAGCTGGGTTTAGGTTTGTGTTTAGTTGTGAATCTTTGATTAATCCTGATGGAAGAAAAAAATAAAACTTTATATACTGCAATGTAAAAATCTTTGTTACCACTGCCCATGGACAGGTAGAACATCAGACTTTGAGGTATGAGGAGCCAACCTATTTTCATTATTTAGCTCACTTTCTGAGTGTAAAATCCAGTTCAAAGTTTCCCAATAACATTTTATTGTTATTTAGTTTACTGTTCTAACATTTTGCTAAATTTGACTAAATGTTAAATTTAAACATTAAATGATATTAAACCCTAAATCTAAATGTTAAAGTTACATCATAAATGTTGTGGCTAAATGTTGAAGTTTACGTTTAAGTATCTCATAATAGAACATGCATTTGGCGCTTGGCTTGTTAGGACGTCATCATCCTGAGACAATAGCAACTAACCACTAACACTACAAATGCTCCTAATACTACCCCATATATAGACCACAGATTCTGTCATGTTTTGACAAGGAAATGACCCAGGGCACAGGCAGAGTTTGGGTTAGTAGCAAAACAAAGTATTTAAACTCAAAAAAACGCTGACAAGGCAGCTTCAAAAACTCACTTAAATGACGAGGCAAATTCAATTCAATTCAATTCAAAAATACTTTATTGATCCCAGAGGGAAATTAGGTGTTGTTGTAACTCATTTAACTAAAAACTTATTGTAGATGCTGATGGCTGTGGGCAGGAAAGATCTTCTGTAGCGGTCTGTATTACAGCGAAGTTGAAGAAGCCTCCGACTGAAGACACTTTGTCTTTCTATGACAGTCTGATGAAGAGGATGGTGATTGTGGGTTGTCCACAATG